TAGAAGGAAACACAAACACAAACACCATGACGCACTGAACAGCTCATTCACAGACCCGTTGACTACTCTAGAGCCTTATATAGCCTACATATTGAAGGTAATCATTTTTTCGGTGACCACCTCTGCGCTTATTAAGGTTCCAAGTATTCGATCTTCTCCTCGGGAGTCTGTCAATGGGGAAACAGTGGTTTGAAGTTCGTGGACGATATCTCTCACTAAAACGCATTGGTACAACTAATAACAATTCGGCGCAGTCCCTAAAACAATATCCACACAAACGGCTCATAAAATACATGTTATTGCTTCTCTGCGTAGCACCACTCAGGACGAAGCGAATCAAGGCGGTTTCTTCACTTTAAAATACTGTAAACGACTTTATTTTCGTGAGGACCTAATTCTCGCAAAGTTCGCGAATCGCCTACAATTCTGAAAAATAGGTCCCGTTAACAATTCCGCCAAAATGTAAAAAACATTAAAATCTATATTGCGATCCCAGCGCGTCGCGAAAATTAAAATTTGCGAATTATTCAAAAACTCCAACTTTGACCTAAATCGCGAAATGGTGAGCCCGCGAAAAATAAATATTTTACAGTAGTTATTTTGCCTTTCCTTTTTAGTAGTTGACTATTTAATATGGTAGTTAATGTCACTATATTAAAGTGTATACTCACATCACGTACAATGGTGGGTGTACACGTTCAGTGAACTAACATTGTGCTAACAAAACCACGCCAAACGTATCTGTTCACAGCACCTGCTCAAGCTTTCCAGCATCAGCAAATGTTGTGGTTGTAGTTCCCGAACCCCGTTCGTGATTAGTGTGCAAGGAACTGATCAGGTGTGTTCTTGTTAGAAAAAAAAAAGCAAACAATAAGATAAATTGGGCTGATTTATCAGTGCGATGCTGCGCAATTCAACTGACAAACTAATCAAATGTTGTATTTAGGCGATTCAGTGTACTCCATATCTGCTTGAAGTGAACTTCTAGAAGGGCAGCTTTTCAATATTTTGGTAGTTTAAGTCAAACTACTAAAGTATTGCATTCAAAAGGTACTTATAGTATAACACAACAGTATTTACGATTTTCAGGTATTTTAAGAGTATTCTGCACGTATTTTTGAGTGTTCCATTTTTTAGGGTTGGAGTATATTTTGCATGAATTAAATAAATATTTCAAGAAATATATGTGAAAGGTATTTTGTGCCTATTAATTTAGTATTTACATATCTCAAAACGCATGAAGGGAACTTCAAATGTAGTTTAAGTAAAGGTATTTTAAGATGATTTTTAAAAGTATATTTTAGTACTAAGTAAAAAAAAAAAAGAAGTTTATATTTTCGGTTTATTTTTCGTGTACTTACAATTATGAACTGTATTTCAAATACACTCAAATTAGAATGTGGTATATTTCAAACGTATTAGTTTTCGCTAAGGGCTGTTTGTCCTGTCCTCTCGGGTTTTAAAATGTGTTGACCTCACTGGTGATGTGGCTTTCGCCTTGTAGCCTATAAGTCGTGCATCTAAAGGCTGACAGTGAGGTGGAAGCTAAGCGCTCGTTGGAACAGTCGCAGGTCTACTTGTCGCCACGTAACCCCGCTCTCGTTCATACACACCGGCAGAGAAAGGGACGGTTCAGGTGATTAAAGGAAGCCGGTTGATTGGGGCTGGTGAGCTCGTAGATCCCACCGCACTGTCAGTTTAGGGGTGTACGAAGTACAGTATCGTCGGGATGATGTGACGCCGTGAATCTTTCTTGACTGAAGTTCGTGAGCCGTGGCCTTCCAGCGATGTCTTTACACGTAAGCTTTTCACCTTCGCCTTTCCATTTCGGCTTTGTGCTTCGGTCGAGTTCTTCGTACGAGGCTTTGCGCTCAGATGGCCGTCGTTTATTTTCTCTGGCGTCTAACGACATTCACCATGCAAAATAATTTTTCTCTTTTTCTCAAAGTTCGCAAACCAACATTCTCATTTTGGACAAAAGTAATATCAAAAGTAATAAGTAATTTTGTCGAAATTACTGCCTGAAAGTAATTCATTACATTACTAAATTACCAACCTATAGTCGGTGATAGGTCAAGAACGAAGTGGAAGCTCCTCCCACCTCTCTCCACTTTAGTAGAGCGAACGGCGGAGAGGAGGTCGCTTCCCTTTCAACGTTCGCTCTATTAAAGTGGAAAGAGGTGGGAGGAGCTTCCACTTCGTTCTTGACCTGTCACCGACTATAGAAAAGTAATGCATTACATTACTCATTATCACAAGTAATTTAATTACTGTAATTTCTTTACAGTAATGTCATTACTGACATCTCTGCGACATGGGGGTACTGACTCTCCTGTTAGTTACGCTGCGCCTTGCCCGCTAGGATTAGCTTGCTCGCCTGTTTCATGACCGCAAAAACTGATCTTCAGTCAACATGTACGTAACACTCAAACGGCGGCATATGTGAGGTGCTTCAGGTTGCACAGGCCGCTTGAGTGCGTGATCTATCCACCGCCGTATCAAACGCACGTTAGCGGTGAATAAATACGCACATCGAATGGACCTTTTCCATATACACGAACTCATGTTTACAAACAAACCGAAGCGCCCCTAGCGGACGCCACCGGCGCCGCGCATGCGCGGTGGACGGTGGGCAAGAAGCCCGCCGTCGCCCATAAACAAACCATTGAATTGCGTTGTTTTCGGCGACGGTGGGAGTCCCCGTGCTCTTTTTCGCGTTGGAATTGTTGATTCTACGTCCTCCTAACAATGTCTGACTACTTGAGCGGCTTCAGCAAAATTAACGAGGCAAAACTGTGCGTGAATAATGTGACTTGCGGCGATTCATTTCACGTGGACGCCGCAGTATGGGCGCTAAAGCCTGACTCGCACGATAAGATTCTGCTCGCTATTTTCAGTCGCGACGTCGCTCGGGCTGCAAAAGCGTGGACCGTAGCTGAGATGGTGGACGTCGATACTGAAAACCACAAGTAGAATCGGGCATTATAAATCGGTGATGGCCACTGGTAACAATGATCAATATCTTCTTGCATCTACTGTTTACACTTCTTACCCCAACAAACCTTCAAGAGTGTTTTGAGGCCTGCATTTAGTTCTTAACGCTATTACCGGGTCAACGTTTGGTTTACGGGCCGCTGTCGTTAGAACGAGCTGACGACAAAAAGCAGACAAGTTTGAAAGAGCAGACGACAGTTCGAACGCTTGCGGCAAGAAGCACCACGTCCCGCGTCAACAAACCAATGGAATGTCACGTTGCCGGCGTCTGTGTGAGTCTGCATACTGTTTTTCGCGTTAGAATTGTCTATTCCACGTCCTCATAGCAATGTCTTACCACTTTAATCGCCTGAGCGAAATTATCAAGGCTCGTTACACCGCTAAACTTTGCGTTAATAATTTGACGTGCGGCGATTCATTCGCGTGAACGGCGCAGAATGGACGCCAAAACCATGATAAGATTCTTCTAGATATTTTCGGTCGCGACATCGCTCGTGCTGCAAAAGTGTAAAAGGTAGCGGCAATGGTCGACGTCGATACTGAAATTCGGAAGCGGGACCAGACCAAGCGTAACAAGTTGGTGATGGCCACTGGTACCAATGATCAACATCTTGTATCTACTCTTTACACCGAGCCTACATAAGTCTTTTGAGGCCTGCAATTACTTCTTATTGCAATCACCGGGTCAAAGTTTGGTCTCAGGGCCGCTTTTGTTTGAACGAGCAGACGACAAAAAGCAGGCTCGAAAGAGCAGACGAAAGTTCGAACGATCATGCGGCCGTGTGAATTTGAAGACGCACCGAACCCGCGGGTGGCCCGGACAACTTGGCGGTTTTCTCTCGTTCATGTTGGAACAAAACAAATACATCTGCCGACCACAAAGTGTTGCCTGCACAAGCAATCGTAGTTCGACAGCGTGTGGTTTACCCTTTTCACGGCTACTATCCACGTACTCGGGCAAGCGGAGCGGGAAGAAACACATGAAAATTGATCTTCAAACCTTTCCAGACACTTTTGGTACAGTCCCCGTCGCAGCATTTTGACGAGAACGCAGGTTTTTTGTCTGGTTTATCCGAAAATAACACAAGAATGCATGTCTCACACGGCGACTTCTGCCCACCGCCCCAGACCGGAAGTGCGACCGACGCGCCACCACCGCGGCGTGACGTAGGAGAGTTGAGTTCGTGTATACCGACGGCATTAGGCGGTGGCTGCACGAACTAAAAATCGAGGAACTTACCTACCTTTGCTACCAATTGATAATGGGAGCCACGCCACCATTTTCTTCGCTCTATGAGCTGGGGCGGGTGCCCAACGTGACTTTAAAGAGGGGGCATCCGCGGCGTTCACCCAAACGTCGTGTTTTTCCTTCCGACCACTTTCTTTTTTTTGTGTGTGTGTAACACAATTATATATATGCTACAATTACGTGTTCTACTCGCTGATCCACAGCCTTCTTCCGAATTTCCTCGATTTTTCGTTCCGACTTCCGCCGCTTGGCATCGGGCGCTCACGCGTGCGCAGAACGCTTCTCAAAAAAGTCGATTGGCTCTGTCGTTTTCCGCGCATCACGTGCACGTCCTCCATGCACAAGCTAAGCTAGCTTATCTGCTTGCACCGGGGAGAAGATGGGGTTCGGGAATGTTCACTCCGCGGAAAGGTGCTGAGAGGCTGCATTCACCATACTTCGTTATCTATAACCGCTGTGTGTAGCAGCGATTTCGGCCCATTTTACTTTTTATTTAGGGGAGCGAGGGAACTGACGGTAGATATCATGACGTCAATTTCCTAGCTAAATTTAGTGGGGAAATTCAGTTTCCTTACAAAATTTAGCGGGGAGATTGACGTCATTGCACCTGTCGTCACGTGACCTAGGTACAAATTTAGTTTCCCCGACCATGTTTATCTGTTCAATGACACTCGGGTAAATGTGGTGAACAATTATGCTGCCGAATGGTGTTTGTGTTAACTTTCCTGTGACGCTCGCCTCTTTTCTTGGGTTTCAGCACGCTGTCATCGGGTTACAATGCCCTGGCGGCAGTTACGTGGAAAGACTTTATTGAACCTCGGGTCGAGTTTTCTGAAAAGAAGGCCGTTTTCGTCACGAGGGGCATCGGTAAGTCTCTATTATAAATTTGAAATCGGCGGGATAATGACCCAGTGAGAGTGGTTCACGCCACAGTTCTCAGATGTCGCCACCGGACCACGTCCACCGCAAGACCTCGCTGAACATCATTATTTTTTTATTTTATTTTTCACTTCAATTATTACAAAAACGAGTATCTGAGTTTTGAGTAAGGTTCGGCGGAAAACTCTGGCTGGAGGGGGTTTCGAATCCAAAACTGCTTGGTGTGGTCAAATAATTGAATGATCATCTTGAAATAGATGATCGTCTGGAAATTGTATTCTCTTATAAACGATTTGGTGTCCACGTTGCTACAGATCTATAATAAAAACACAGACCGAGTATGTTGTAAACAGCATAATCGCAAGCTCAGATGCATAAGACGCAATTTTCCTTTGGGCTCACCTTCTTTAAAACTATTGCTTTACAAAACGTTAGTACCAACTCGAATATGCATGCTCAGTCTGAAATCCTGGTACAAGCATTTGTACTAAGCCGTTCAAAACCGGTCAGCACGTTTGATACTTTCTAACTGCCATCCTACATCAGGTGTCACATCATTAAAATCGAAACTCTCCTTCCACTCATTTCCATCCGGTGTTTCATCTCTCGTCTATGTTTACTTCAGAAAATCTATTACAATAATTCCAGTCAAAAAGAGAAGATAATCACTGGTTCTGTCCACACATCTTTGCTCCTCAACCAGAACTGCAAAGCTGGCACACGCGATCACTGCGTAAAAACGTCGAAGAACAAAGACAAAGAGTAGGACTTGACACACGCAGCGCTACTGTCAACTAAATTTTATTTGAAAAAAAAAAAAGAAACACGCACATATGTACACATTTTATTAAACTTTACTCTAAATCAGTCTAAACTCGCGCGGTGACGCACTGATGCAGCCTCCCCCTTTACCCTGTCTTTCGGCGCTTTTACGTGGTGTGGTAACCATGAACACCAACTAGCCCCCTTGTACATTTTGTTACTGGTACATCCGCATGTAATACTACCCCTTTTACGGTTAATTCTCTCATTCCCAAAACACCTTGTGATTGGAACCACCTTCCCCTTTCTATAAAGCTACAATAACAGATTGTGACGGGTTTGTGTGTGCACTAAATAATTATGATTCCTGCTTCAGGCCCATGTAACAATTTTTTAATTGTGTTTGGGATGTCGAATTTTTTTCTCCCCGGTAATAACAATAATCAACCAATAAATAAATGAATAAACGAAGCAACGTGGCTGCAACGCCGTGTTGTTGAAGGAGCGGTGACAGCAAGCACAATACCGGGCTAGAGGACAAGTCTTGTACAGGGTGTCATCGTCAAAGGTAGGGTGCCTACATGTCTGTTTGTCTCAAGGTGAAGACATCCATTGTTGCCCTCAATGTGCCAGCGCGTGACTCTGGCGCACTCGATGCGTGACTTGGGCGGTAAAATGGCGTCTATGCATTAGCCAAAGCTACGCGCTCGAGCTGAGTGACACCAGATTGCGCGCACTTCAACATTCACAAAAAAATGATTGGGCGGAAAAATGGCTGAGATGTCACCACTCAAGCAAAAGCGCGCGTGTGTATGAAGGCAGTCTAGCCAAGGGATCTCCGACCTGCCCCCAAGCGGCAGGGACAACGAAGCTCGATGGGAGTCGCTGCAAAGCGGAACACTACTGCGAGGGAGTCAAATCGATCAAAATGTAGGCCATCCCTATTGTGACAGCGTGCGCAAGTAGGTCGGGATATATTATCTAAATATATCGTTTTCGCAAAAGCAGAACAGGTCGCAGTATCTTAGACCTTTTTAGAGCGAATCTGGTTATGGCTACGGTTCCGTGGATTTTTCGTGTGCGTGACCAAAACCTCTACGCTCAAACCGCCGCACGCGCCGCACGCGCACGCCTTCCCCGTATAAAAGATTCGAAGTAAATAACCGAAATAAAGCGTTGATGAACGCGCGTGCAAGATGCGATTTGTTTTTATGATTTTGCTTTAGAATAGTTACTGCTGCCATAGCCTCCTCTATAAGGAGTATATTCACTGGACGCCATATTTGAGGGCGATGTTTAAAGCGCATGCTCAGAACGAGCTCACGTTGATAGGCTGCTAAGACCGCCAACCTTGATGGTTGGCGTTCTGCCAGCCATCAGGTTGCAAAAGAATTGTGGAAGCTCGCCCTTAGCACGCGCTCAGCAGGCAGTTCGACGACGGAGCCATAGTGTGCCCGGTCGCAGATTTGGAGCGCGAGGATCTGGTAGCACAGAGCATCAAAAAGCCATTTCTCGGGGAACCTGGACGTCAGCGCACAGCTTTTGCAGCGGGGATCGGACCCGATTATATCAATTGATATCTGAACGTGCCCAAGAGGTTCGGGCATCATACCCAGGATACGGGGAAACGGTCGCCCCGTTTTCCCGTTTCCTAACGCGCCGGGCGCGTCGCCACCACTTGCGTCATCTATCGACAGCGGTGGCGGGATGGCCAGTAACTCAGTGGGGCGAAGTTTTTTTTTTTTTGTTTTTATTTTTTTTATTCCGCAAAATGTCAAGCGGCGCACTATTTTGCTGTTAGCAAGTACTTATTCTACATAAAACTTTCGTTCACTGTGCAAAACTTAAAAAAAAAAAAAAAAAAAAAAACTGAATGCATTAGCAATAACTAGCACTTGAAAAAAAAATAGTATCCCTATTGGAGTTTTCCACTATAGACCCCTTTCAAAAAATTTGGCAACAGCGAAAATCCGCTGAACGAGTCCAACAACATTGGGCGGCCGGCGCCATTGGGAAGGACCCTGTTGCGGCCGGCATGGTTGTTTTGACTGTAGCGTTCTTGTTTCGTCGATCCCTTCGCCTTTGTATGGATGCAGGTAGCGTTTTCCCGATCACGGGTTGGGTAAACGACCTTTCCCAGCTCCCAGCCGTTAAAGATGATGAGGTATATCGCTTCTTCAAGAGCCGATCGGACTCGGAACGACAATTCGGCAGACGTTACAACTTTCTCGTTGAGGGGTTCGTGGTCGCCGCATCTATAAAGGCCAACTACGCACGAAAAAGGTAATTACTAAGATCTTTATAGTTACGACATCAAACATGTCATCAAAAAATGATAGGAACCGGTTATAATTTACGGACTGTAGTTAGAAGTCGCCAGTACTCTCCGGATGTGCGACAAAATAGGCGCAGGGGTCCCGCTTCGCTCCCGCTTCGCTCCCGCTCGGACAGTCGCGCAATGAAGCACACCGCATAAAAGCGACGAGCGAGCGACCAAGGCGGTGAGCAGGGTGTCGAACCGGAACCGAACCGAACCGAAAACCGGAACAGAACCGTTATTTTTAGCCGAACCGGAACTGAACCGAACCGAAATCTTCGCCGCCATCTTGGAACTGAACCGGAACTGAACCGGAAAAAAATAGAACGGTAACCGGTTCAAAACGGTTCGCGGTATCTTTTTTTTGTTAGTATTACAAATTTATTATTTGGGAATAAAAAAACTGGCAGCTGTATTTCTATATTGATCAAATCGTCATATGCAGAATTGCAATGTATAATAAATCCTGGTTTTCTGCGGCGCTTTCTTATTGGCACTATGAATAGCCATGTGTCACATCGTCACGTGACGTCATAATGTCAAGACCTGCTGTCAAGTAATGTCACATCACGTGACCCCGTGACGTCACGTGACTCACCGCGTAGATTCAAATTGAGGACGTCGCTAGATCTATTAACGTTGTTGATACAGTGACGTCACATGACATCACAACTTCGGACTGAGAGTCACGTGACACCATGATGTACCCGATTGTCATGATCCCGAGTTGAATGCTCTAATTCATGAAAACCAGCATCGCCAAACATTCGGGTGACGGCTCGTGTTCAACTCAAAGATTATGATGGGCCCGAGTCCCACTAGAACTAGAAACAGAAACAAACGACAGCGACAAGCCTCAGACACATGCAGCATGTTCGCGATGGTACCTTTATACGGCTTTGAGTTGTTCGGTGCTCGCGAAGTTAGCACGAGCGTTTACAAGCCTGCAAATGGTACCATCGTGTGCATGATACTCGTGTTTGAGCATAGCCTTCTTTATTCTACAAAGCCTGTCAAATCGCGAAATACTCTGGTTTAAGGCTAGCCGCTGTCGTTTGTTTCTGTCTGTCGCTTTAGTGGGGCTCGGGCATTGTAGCCCAACTAAAACTATATCTGAAGATCAGCCCATGCTCTCTGCTTTGCCAACCCTGCGTATGACTATGATAAACACTGACGGTGTGTATATTAGGATCAGATCACGTGGCTGATAGTTCTAATTGCGAGTTGAGGAGGGGAATGCTGTTTCATTTCTTTCTTTCGACTGTCTGCCATTTCGCGGAGGGGCAAACTAATGGATGCTTTTGTAAGTTATCAACGTCAGGGATTACATCTTAGCGGTATTTATTGAACTTAAGGTAAAAAAAAAGATGCTGCACGACCCATTTTACATGTATGCACACCATTGAGGCTCCCAAACATGTTTTCGTTATTGCTGAACTGCCTCAAAAAGTTGTCCCGAGAATAGAAGTGTTAAAGGGTCTAAATGTGACGTATTAGTCCGACGTTACATGGAACTATTAGTGTGTACGGGAGGGATACCTGAAAAGAAAGATCCTAGTGGCCTCAGGGGGATAGCAGCCGCTCTAAGTCTCACAGGAGTGTCGTTCTCAAGTTCTCCAAGTTTCGACCGCCCTGTATTTTGTTTAAACTTCACAGTGTGGTGCAAAGTAAAAGCAAGGAAAAATTACTGTTAACAAGTGACACAAATATAATTGTCGAGTGAACACCACTCAATACGGAGCAGGCAATCCCTGAGGAATAAAAAGTATCTTGAGGAGCAACTAAAAAAAAAAAAAAGGGAGTGGGGAGGGGGGTAGTTTTAAAACATACTGTGTCGTAAAGATCCCTCTGCCCCGCATTTTCGGCGCAGACTAGAAAGCGTGGCCTGGAGACGGTAGTGACAGATGGGTAGTTGGTAAAACTTTTATTTGTAAAAACACTCTTGCCAGAAAGCACGTTTTCGTCGTGCGAGTTACTCGCGCCGTGCCTAACGACGATGCACCAACAAGAAAAATGTGTGCCTCTCAAATACACAGCTTGCACTGAGCGCGAAACTTTTGCAGCGTGCATTTTCCCCCAGCGGATTTGATATTCTCAGCAAGAACAACTCGCAATGACAACCACTACCTAGTGCGATTACGTCACGTGCAAACCATGTTAAATACTTCAGCTTTCTGGTGAAGTGCGACGTTCGCAACACCAGCAGTAGACGTCCAAGGTGTAAAGTTGTGTAGTATTTATAGCAGTCTCGCGATGATATACGGCAGCTTAATGAGATGTTGGAGCACATGACTGATAAAGAACAGAGTCGTGAAGTAAGGTCCCAAAACAAGTGCACGTAAAACCTAAGGTAACATTAGCCTCCCGAGGTAGTATCTCGCGGCGTTTCGAGCTGAGGCAAGCTGATGCCGAAAAGTGATTTATATTAGGATTTATAAAATCTTCGTTTGCCCTGCGCGGAATCTATGTATAATTAGGAATATCATTTTATGCATTTCTATGCATCTCTTTTTGCAGTAAAGCGTTGTGTAAGGGATTATTTAGAAAAAATTGCGTGTCATCTCCTTATTTCTGCCCATTTCGTGCATTTGCCTTCCGATATATCATGTGACCACAGTGTTTTTTGGCATAGCCTGCAACCCAGTATTTTACACTGCAAAACAGCTAACAAAAGCACGTTGCCGAAGACTCAACAGCTGGCGTATTTTCGAGTATCCTCCTTTCGTGTCGGTCTCAGGCGGTTATGTGAACTTCATAAAGTCAAATTTATCGATGATAATAAAAATATACTTAATTCCTGTCTGACTATTTGGCAGCATAAATAGAAGATCCTCACCTCAAAGATATATAAGTAAATGCACCTTTAAATTATCTGAAAGATGTTCTGCAAATCTTTTTCGGCGCTTTTATCCTCTATAGACACGTTATAGGTGATTTGGAAAAGCTTTAAATAATTTTTTTTTATTTTGAAGCTTATTTAAATACCTATATGTTCCTTATAAGTATTTAACTTCTCAAATATATAGAAGTTTATTATCGCCTTTTTTATATGTTTTTATTATCGCCTTTTTTTACTGGAACGAATGGTGGAACTATGACGATTGCACACTTAAACTCTCAGAAAGTGTCCGATTAAGTAGCTTCCGAACTGAGTAGAGTACGAAATACCACTTTGTTCTATTTAACAAAAATCATCAATTAGCGAGGGTGATGCTCATTTGTAAATTAAATTGACCGGCATTTTGTCAAGAGCAAACCTCAACATCCAGGCTATGCCAGTTTATCCAATATAAGAAAATGTACACATGGGTAAGCACTGTTTTAGGTCAGATTCGATATCAGTACGAAGGTGCTCATAGATTAGAGTGAACAATTTCAGTCACTCCTTTTCGCATGATTCGTCGCCCGCATCATGGTGCTGAGAGCAAACAATGCTAGTTAGAAAAACAAGCATTGCGATTGTCGCTTAGTGTTTCTATAAAATATAGACTGGAAGGACTTGTCCCGTGACTTTCGTGACATTTTGAAAATTATATTGCCTTAAGCTCAGTCGTCTCGTCATCATATGTATACTGTGAAACGTATTCCGTAAAACACATTTTATGGCGTATATGGCGACGAGGTGCCCATTTCATGATTTTATTCACTGTAATTAATTCCTTAGTTCAAGGGCAAAACCACGATTCAACATCTGATACTGCGATACAAATTTGTACCAATAACGGGTATTTTAGGCAACCTACTTCACTTCGCGAAAACATTTCCATTTAGGTACAATGTATGTGACTCTGGTAAACGAAGGGATGTTGAGTCGTATAAACTCGGCGTGTTGTATGTTAATGTAGATTTTCTTTTCTTGTTGTGTAGGAATAAATAACAGAATTTTATAATTTTGGTACCTGAAAATAAAACTGGATTGAACAAACGATAAAAAAAAAAGAAGAAAACTATATACTGTAAACGACTTAGTTTTCGTGGGCTCAATATTTCGCGATTTAGGTCAAAGCTGAAGTTTTGGAATAATTCGCGGGTTGTAATTTTCTCGACCGCGGTGGAATCTCAATACAAATTTCAATGTGTTCACATTTTACCGAAATTGTTCGCGGGACCCATTTTTCGCGATTTGTAGGCGATTCGCGAAATTCTCAAGAATAGGTCCTCGCAAAATTCAGATCGTTTACAGCAGTTAGTTTCACGGCCTAAATAGTGCCTATTGACAGAACAACGCGGAAACTATATTCTCAATTTAGCGGTTCAAAACGGTTCGAACCGGTTCGAACCGGTTTGAACGGTTATTTTTTGCGCCCCGGAACTGAACCGGAACTGAACCGAAAGCCGTGAACCCGAACCCGAACCGAACCGATAAAAATATCGGTTCGACACTCTGGCGGTGAGCGTCGTTTTCTAGAAATCCCAAACCAAGCGACGCGACAAGCGACAGTGAAACATTTTCGTTGCTCGTAGCCGACTTTCGTCGCTTGACTCGTCGCTCGTCAAATCGCGTTTTTTTACTTGGAATTAAGACCTAAAATTTCAATGCGCAAGTTAACCAGTAAATGACGTATTTGACACAAGTACCTACTTGATAAGTCGAGTCCCTTTTTCTTGAGCGGGATTTTAGAGTTGGGAAGTGTAGAGCAGCAAATTTTGCAGTGAAGCAGAAGTTGCAAGCGCGAGCATGTTGCTTTGCATAAAGCGCGCGCTGCACAGATGTCTGCGCTACAGGCAGGTTAAAGCATCAGGTCGTATGGCTTCATGCGTACCTAACATACAATTTACACGCGCAAGTTTGAAGCACCGCGAGCTCGTGCATACCTGAAGCTAGGCGCTCGCGAAGCTGTCACGTCCACAAGCGATACCACGAGCAACATCATATTTGTATTTGACGCCTTGATTTCTTCAAGCTATACTTAGTTTCAGCTTCGGTCCAGACGCAGCCAAAGCTACAAGCGCGAGCTCCGGGCTTTCAGCATCCCTGCCAAGCACGCGTGCTCGTGCAGTGCAAGCACTGTTCTGGGCCACATGCTCGCGCTAGTAGCATCGGCTGCGTCTGGAGCGAAGCAGAAACGAAGTATAGCTGAAACTTGAAAACTCTACATCCAAACGCAACAAAGTGAGATTAAAAACACCTGACTCAAACACCCAAGGAAGCGTAGCGTGAGAACGGTTCGTGTTCCGTTTTTGCACTTCAGCAGGGAAACGTTTGCGCGGCTACGCCGCCGTCAACCGATAACGAGTACATTTCCGAATACGTGCCTTAATGCCAGACTTGTCCAGATACCCACTCTGCTTACAGAGGGGTACGCAGCAGTACGTTGGCATCGTGGGCAGGAATTGACTAGCGTCTACGGCCAACGCAGCGTATGCAGCGGCGCGCGCTATCCTGCAGCATGGCGGCTGCCACTAGTTGCTGTTGCCTACGACAGGTGGCGCTTTTTTCTCTGATCGGTCTATACTGCAAAACTTTTCCGTTCGGACTTCATTTACAAACTAACCGCTGAGTATTTTGAATTGCTTTATACGGTTTTTGTACTCTCCAGGTTTCTAGCTACATATTGGCACCATCTTCGCCACGGTCCGTCAATTCTACAAAGTTCTCTTGTTCATTAAGCACTTATCTGTTTGTTTCTTTTTTTGTTTTTTTTTTATAATTTTTTTTTTTTTTTAGAATTTTTAACTTTTAACCGCTTACTTGTCTTCAAAATCATATTTCTAGCCAGATATCTGTTTCATGCAACGAGGCCTCGGGTTTTGCGCTGTGACTGAAGTACGCCAGCTTCTTTCTGTAATGGCTTGTTTTCCTCTCCTTTTCTGGGGTCACGCGTCAGCTGCCGCCTACGGCCTCCTGTCCATATCCATAGCATTTCTGTCCGGAACTCTGCCATCAATAGTTCAGGTGGGTACTTCTCATAAAAAACTAAATGTGCGTACATAAGAATCGATACAAGCAACATCAAGGGTGTTCCCCCCAAAAGAAGGAAGGGTTTTTGACAGGTCCCTTGTTTCCCCGAGAGACACTTGAGACATGCTGCCAAAGCGCAGAACACCAAACGCAGTGCCCAAAAGCATTCTGGGAACTGACTGTATAGAACCGGCTATATTTTAAGTGACAGCTTAGGAGTTCACTGGAAACTCCTCCCACTTTTTTTCCATTGCAGCAGAGCGAGCGCTGGAGAGGTAATCGTCTCCTCTTCAGCGTTCGCTTTACTAAAGCATAAAAAGGGAGGAGGAACTTTCACTTTACTCTTAACTAGCTAATAATTATGCCACAACTCTCTCTCTCTCTTCTGGGTCACGTGGTAGATGCGCGAGAGCAAGGCGGGTTCCAAGTCCGTTGCGCGGTTGGGGCGTAGCCTTTTGAGAGTTTCGCAACTTGTTTATAGAGTTCACTTCAGTCTGTTCCCAGGGTCGCCGGAATCTCAGCTACACAGCTCTCACACGCAGTAAGCCGTCGCCAGATGACGTGAAACTCGTCGGGGGATTTTAGAGAGCTTACATGACAGCGTTTCCAACTCCTCGATCGGGGTCACGTGGTTCCTGGGCCGCGTTTTGCAGAACAAGCAGCGGGGAGGTGGCAAAAGCGTCGTTCGTCTGCAAGCGGCTCCGCCTTTCCGCCTGCTTTCCTCCTCGCCACCCGACAACGCAGCGCACGCGTACTTGCGGCAAATCTTCGCCGTAGGCGTCAGCCTTTAAAATGGCAGGCACTCGCCATGATGGGAGATGAACCTTCCTTTCAGTCTAGACTCTCTAGGTGATTTGAACCTGCAAATTGAAATGTCGTGGGTCGAAACTTCGTAATAGCCAAAAAAAAAAAAAAGAAAGAAAAAAAGTAAACGTTGCACACAACGAGCACCAAAAATCGACCGTAAAAGGCAGTGGTTGTATTTTTTGTCTCCTTGAAGGTGACAAAGCATTCGTATTTCGAAGTCCTAAATCTGATTTTTTTTTTTTTTTTTGTAACGTTAATTTAAAGGCGCTGTGCAACGGCATTGGGTAGGAATATTTCTTACTTTACACTAGCTTCCTGGCACTAGTGGGACCCGAGAATACTCGAACGCAACACCACAGCCCAAGAAGCGTCTTCGTCGTGGAGGAATTCAAGGGATAAATGCGGAGCTTTCTTTCAGTCTCTCCTTCCAAGGCCGCCTTTTGCTCCTTCGCGAAATTTGATGACGGAGCTGTGGGGACAATGGCAACAGCACGATCCCCGGGAATGCGTCATCGAGCTTTGCGTTGACGATATTCAAATGCTGCTCACACAGTGGACGCGAAGACTGCGTACGCAGTCGATCTGGGCTCGTGACAATCGATGCCTCGACATGCATTCGGGTAGTGGCCCGTGTCCAATCGCTGCAACGACGACAATAGCCGAGCCATAACAATGTCTGGAACTCAGCTTGTGTCCTGTGCTTTGCCGACCCCAGCGCGTGGCTATGATCAACATTGGCGGCATATAATCGGCTCCAGATCATGTGGCCGCTTGTTCTGGCTGCGAGTTGAGGGGGTAAACGGTGCTCGTTTTTCTTTAATTTTTTTTCTGGAACTTCTGTTGCGTGGGGTGAAAAACGAACGCGTTTTTCGTAGGTCATTAACGTCGGGGATCCATTTTAAGTGGTATTTGCGCAATGTACAAAAATTTTGCATCGCCCCTTTAAAAAGAAACAAACATATAATGCTCAAATATGCTGCCTAACCCTTGAGGTGTGAAATTTGAATTTTATTTATTCATGCCAGACACATCAAAGGAAGTAACTATGATATGCAGTGTTCAGATCGTTTGTTTTGATTGAAATGAGCAGAGACCGTGTTTATTCGCGTTGAATCATACAGGTAGCAAGCGTAATCAGTGAAAGTGAAACAAATTATTCAGATTTATTTTCCGAGGCTCTCGCGTTTCCTGAATATGCTAGCGTACAATTTTCGAACAGAAAATAATTGGACGATATTGGACGACAGAACTAAGCTTTACTTTGCACTTGTTTAAGCTAAGGTCTAATTGGAACACTCGGCATCAGCTATGTAGGCAATTACCACCATTTATTTTCCAGCCTACCAGAAGCCTGTAGATTCGTAGAGTATCTGTTCGCGAATATGCGTTTTTAATATTAAAGTAATTTGAAAGTTTTTCAGTGTGTCTGGGTATTATTTTATTCGTGTAAGCGCTGAAACGAACCTATATGACTTAGCGTAAAAGCAAAGATGTTGTAATACGTTATTGAATCGGGCTATCGAGATAAAGGCACACTCATCCCACTTAGGTCCGAAGACCTACCATCCCAAATACTTACCTTAAAAAAAAAAAAAAAAAAAAAAACTGTCTGATAGGAGAGTAAACAGTGAAAACTGTTGTGACCGCGTGGTCGCTGACGAGATAGAAGCAGAGATAAAACCACGCCAGTTGAACACTGAAGGAAGATTGCCTTTAATCAGCCAGCTTAAGAAACGGAAACGGAAGCACCGCCCAACAAGACGGGTGGCGCCATCAATTGCAGGAAAGGCTCACTACAAGAACCGGCCATAACAAAATATACGTTTTCGAAGATCTTGGGGCCGTCAGCACCGAGCAATATTCCGTAATCCTTACAAACGAACACCTTCTATGAGGTGGCGAATGTTTCTAGGTCCCAAATATTGCTTAAACCTTGACGGGACGTCTCTCTGCACGTCACAGGCATCCAACAGTCTCGTGGGTGCCATGACGGGACCGCTTCTGGCCATCTTCTTTCTCGGGGTATTCTTCCCCTTCTGCAAGAAAAAGGTACTTTGTTTTCAATTTCTTGCTTTATTCATTATGTATTAAGAATATCAGAATCGTTAAGGAGGGCCCTCCCCAGAAATATCCCAGATTCTACCAAAAATGTATGATGCTTACTCCTCAAAGTTTGGATGCTTTTCTCCCGAAACTATCTTAAAAGATAAAAATACGTACATTGACTCTTTTTTTTTTTTAATGCTTAACGCTTTTTGGCTAGTTGTTCAGCATTTCGTAAAGCCTGATAAGTGAAACCCGATAAGTGTGGCCGCGAAGCTCTATCCTGATTGGTTAACGAAGGAGGACACTTGATTAGAAGGGTAGGTGAGGAGGAGCTCGGCCATTTGTGCGCACTGAGGGCGAGGAGCTCGAGAGTATGAAAGGCTCTGGAAGATCGCTAGGTTTATTAGCCTGATTAACGGTAGTATCGCTTCATTCCAGAAACATCAATCAACTGTACACATGGTGCGCGTTAAACTATATCTGATGAAGAGCACCGTGAGAGTATCGCTAATCGTTTGTCATTCTAGAACGTTTCACGTATGCAGAACAACTGCATAGCAATTCGCCATGCTTTTTTTTTTTTTTAATAATCTGTTAGACTGCACTAAAACAGCATAGGAGACAATAAAAATAATTCTGTGCCTGCGGGGCTTCGCTGTGGACCGCGTCTAGCTGTGCTTTAGCATTTCGACGTTGCTTCTATGAATGACATATAGTACATTCGCCGATTAGATTGAGACGAACCTCATTCCCTCACTTAACTATTGGTCGTAGCAAAACGAGTCACCTACTTTGGTTCTCTGTGCCTAGCCCTAACGCTCTTCACTGTTTCCCGGCGTCTCATGGACGCGACGAACACGCTGAGGTCAGCGGGCCGCCGCTTCTGTCGTGCGATGTCCTCTTCTGTCCACTCGTTTTTATAGCGAGGCATTGTGAAGGCGATCAGAGCACTTTCATCGTGCGTGTGTCTTCTAACGCAGGATGGATGAATGGATGGAAGGTATGGACGACACCCTTTGTGTAGGGTGGTAGTTAGCGCCAACTAGCCTCGAAACATTTACGCCCCTCCTCTTTAAATTTTGCGATTGGATGATTTATTAAAAAGAGGCATTTATTTTGCCTTCGCGGCTCAATCTCTCATTCGAGCATCTGCCCCACCAATTTCGTGCATTATCATCCGTCTCTAGACCTTCTCAAACCATCTTCCAACCACCTTTTTGTGATTGCAATCCTTCATTCTGTCGCTCTTCCATCGCCTCCGCAAAACCCAGCACTTCTGCCGTATTCGTTTTCCTTTCAGGGAGGGCGGAACGAAGCCTCGTGCACATCAAAGCATCATGTTCTAGCGTCTCGCTGTAACTATGGCATAAGGCATATACATGTATACGCCTTTAGAGTGTAATCCAATATGTCTTTGTCCTTAGCTCTCCCATTCTCCCCTCAAACTCTATATAATATTTCGACCCAAGAGGGTCGCGGTGTACCAAACAGCCTGAACCAGTGTGCCTAATGCGGCGAGCACATAGAGCGCCCCCGCGAATTACCAAACCCCTTTCCTACGTCCTAAGCGAACACTCAACTTCCCGTTGCCCAAAACGAACAGTCAGCACAATTATACACACAGGCACGCGTGTCCATCAAAATGAGTGAACTTCTCCCGCTTCCAGGGCGTGACGGCGGGCGCCTTGATCGGAGTAGCCCTGGCCTCGTGGCACGCCATGGGCTCCATAGCGTACCCCCGGGCGTCTTACGGACTACCGACCTCCACTGCTGGCTGCGTGGATTTCAACCAGACGCTGACTTCGGGATCTTTAGAAACACCACCGATACCCAAGTAACGCGTTTCGAGTGTTCTTCAATGAACAGTGGTAGTCAGGGTTGTTGATGGCATCCAACTCTATTCGCGACTCCAACAACTATAGGCGGCGCCACTCGTTATCCAAAATGGCGGTTATAGTGAGAGTCGGAGGTGCGTGCCGCAGTTGAGCCTGTCTAGAGTGCTGGCTTCACTGGGCGACACAAATTATGTCTGGTAATACGACGAAGCTAGGGTGTTTGAGAGCAGGTCACCTTTTTATCCTGAAAACAAAAACGGTGTTTAGCGTGATACTTACTCCAGGAAGCACGTTTTAAATCTGAAGTGAAACCGAAACTAACCTCTATTTTGGATTTAATTTGACGGTATAGGTTTTAATTTCGAATTCTTTCATAGCTCAAGATGTGTCTCACATCATAATGATTTGGTTAAATAAGTTGTTCGGGGAAACTATTTTTTTTTTTTTTTTGTGACATACGTGTTCGATTTAGGCACTTCAAATTATTTTGGAGATTTAAGTGTCCCTTTAAAGACGGGGTCTTTCATACACCTTAGAAGTTAGAGCTCACATAGAATATCGTAGTAGTTGAAAACAAATCAGTGTTGATATTTGTGCGTTCTCGTTGCCTTTTCGCGATCAAATAGTTGTGATGTGAAAAAATGAACTGTGGGTCTTTTAATTGGTTTGGGGTACCTGGATGATTCATTGCCTTAACATTATTTGGAGCGCAATCATAACAGAATAAAACAATTTTTTACACTATGCCCACAAAACGAATAAATGAATAAAAGCTGTTCTCACTACAACAAGCTAAAGACGAAATACGAGTCAGACAGCTGAAGTGGGTGTGTTTTTTATAGCAATGCGTGACGGGCATATGACTTCATATCGCATCCAGTGTTTGACTGTTTGCTCTGGAAAGACTATTATGGTTAAATGACGTATTTTTGTGATCGTAGCGTTACTGGCGTATTAATAACAATAGTATTAAAACTCAGATGATTTAATATGCAATTTTTTATTATTTAATGTAATTTATTGCTTATTACCTAATTTCAAACGCGCGAACAAGTGTGACAATCAAAAGTGTGCTAATTATCATTACTGGTGCCAACTACAGAATTTTTAATGACCAAGCTATAAAACAATAATCTAAAATCAATCAAAACATTCTCGCTAATCTGAGAAATCCCTGTAAAATTACATTAATTGTGGGTAAAGCGTATTTTGATTTCAATGTCGCGACCAGGGTGTAAGATAGACAGGTGGGGAAACGGCCCATAGAAGCCTACTGCAGCGCCGTGACCTGATTGTGTACTCGTCTGTTAGCGGGTACCCCCGATTTGCGACAGATGGCGCTGCGGCGAAAAGAAAAAAAGTTGGAATCGGATTCGCATGGAATTCTATGGTAGAGTGCGCAAAATAAAACGAGAGCACGACAGTTCTCCACTGAAAATCCACGAGAAACCATCTTCGTCAGTTTAGCCGGTCGCCACCGGTCACCCACCCGGAGTGAGAGTTCGTGATGCTCCAAATAGATGGCGCCACAAAAAAAAAAAAAAAAAAAAAGAGAGAAAAGCGAGGGGGACACAATCCGGTCGCTCATTTGGCTCTCGTTTCCCCACCTGTCTATCTTACACCCTGGTCGCGACTTTTGACACTCGGCAGGAGTTACAAAGTCGCCGCCAATATCCTTCCTGACCTAATGCCCTAAAATAAAAAAAAACAAAAAACATATATATTTTTTTAAAATTTTTAATTTTTTATAGCATTTAGTTACTTCATTTTTATGGTCCGTCGCTTTGCCAATCTCAGCCTTTCCAGTTTGAAGGAACGCCTACCTGCTTGCACGTCTGCTCACTGCAGCACGTTGCTTTGGCGTTCCTATAGGGTGCCTTCATATGAGCAAAGCGCACATGAAGGCTCCCTAGGCGTTCCAAGCCGGTGAAACAGTTGCGACTTTAGTATCGCGTATACGAGCAAACGCAAGTAATGTGTGTTTGTGTTAGCTTTACGTGTTTGCGCGTGCGCGGAGCTGAAAGTTTTGGCCTTGGATTGACGCATGGCGATGAGGCGCACGCACAACGTGGGGCACGCAACTCTAACGCAAACGCACAGCGCTTGCGTTTGCTTCTATACGCAACACTAAAGCTCTCTAGTAAGGTACAATCCCATACCGGCTGCAGCACTACGTCGGGACAGTGAAGAATGCTGTTTGCGTTCGGAAATGACAATTAGCGAGCCAGGATCGCGCGCAGTTCCGCCGCGCCCACTGCTCGGGAGAATCGGGGGACCCTCACCACAACCTCCGAGATCCCGAAGCGCGCGCGCGCGCTTCGGGTGATCTCGGAGGCTATGCCCTCACTATACTCTGTTTCACCTTGTGTTGTACCCCAGGAAAGACTACAAGCGCGAGCTCCTTGCTCTAGGGCACATCTCGGCGGCACAAGCTCTCGTGCACCAACACTATGAGCTCGCGCTTCTAGCCTTCGCTACGGTACAACATAAGGTGAAACGGAGTATAGAGCGCTTCCCTTTTCCGCCGCGGGAGGGCGAGAAACTAGCTGCAGAGACGCGAAAAGTCGGCCCTTCCTTGGTTTATTTTGCTTAGTTCGATGTATGAAATGAACATGCCCCGTTAAATTCACGGCTGTGTTCCGATGTATTGTTCTAGCTTCAGTCTTCTACACGTTACTCTAGAAACAAGTGATCGATTACAATATTTCTTGGTTAAAAAGTAATAAATTAGATTACTCGATTACTTGGGAAGAAATGTAAATGCCCGTTATATAAAAAAGTAACCGTAACTTTCGTGATTAGAGCAGTTTTTCAAAACTACACGTTTTACCACCTGCTTTTAAACTGGTCTTTTGTGGTGTTCAGTATTCGATTAGAATTACCCATCTTCTTAATTCACAAAATTTTGGTGAACGATATCCTACTGTTTGAGACTTGGTTCGAGGATATTTTGGTCAGGACAAAGGGTGCCATTAGAAGGGGGAAGGCGAAAATAAGAAAAACGGTTACATGTAATTTTAGTGCTTCCAAAAGTAATAAGAACACTCTTGCAATTACTTTTTAATAGATATATTCAAACAATTTCAGAATTACTCCAAAAGGTAATTGATCGTAGGCAATTTGATTACTTGTAATGAGTACTGCACGAATATGAAATAGCTGTAATGTGCGCGGAACTGGGATGTACGAGAAGACTGTTCGTTTTTTTTTTTTTTACATCTTTTTAATACGAAAGCATTAGCTGGTCCCATGGAGCGAGCTGACGTCATCAGTTTGAAGCTCGAAAACGGCACCTAGTTTCCCCGATCCCAAAGGAGCGAAGTTAAGCTGATGGTTTTCGCATTTGGTTTCATTGGCTGGCGCGCGTCGACGAGGCTCCCATTGGATGCCGCGCTCGTCAGTTTCCACGACCGCTCACCCCGTGGCGCTGTGTCTCCATCAGCGCGCCGTTAACACGGAGCGTCCAAGGTCAGCGTGCCCAGGTGAGGACGCGCGCTGACCGGCGACGAAAAGTACGCGCAGCAGACGAAAAAGGGAGCGGACGAGCGGCTTGCATGCTTTCGCATTCACAACTCATAAGAAGTGCTTAGGTGTATTTCGAACTTTGATTAGCCCACTCCGATTAATCAGGAGACGTCACGTTACGCAGTTTTGTCAAGCATTGTCAAGTCATGTGGCAAAATGTCTCATGACGTCACGGCGTGAGGTCATGGGGTAACGTGACCCGACGTCATACCATGTGGTCACGTGACTTCACGCTGTCAAGTCGTTGTGTCAGGTGACGTTACGTCACGGGAAGCAGCGTCACGGGGCGTGGTCACGTGACCTGACGGAAGGTTACGTCACCACTTCGCACCATAAGACATATGACGTCAGATCACGTGAAGTGCCCGTGCCGCGCACGCGACGGACGAACACGAACTCTGGGTTAGCTCCCGTTGGAACGCCATTCTGTGTTACAATGGGATAAGGAAAGGAGCGTGTAAGTCGTATTAAACTTAATTTTGTACCTCGAAAAAAGGTTTACGCTATCTGCTATTGCTGCAAAATGCGAGCAAATCACGTATGTTGTCCCCCGCGGCGCTGTAGAGGAGGAATTGAGCCGGTGCAATACCACTGCTATCCCGGGGATTTTAACGTGCATCACAGAGTAGCGATTCACAACTGTACGGCAGTACAATGCTGATGTAAATCTAAAAGGGCAGGAGTAAGGAATCGAACATCTAAATCCAAAAGGGCACGGGTAGGGCTTTGAAGAATCGATCCACGTGCTCCGAGCTGCGTTGCGCTAACACCCTCGGCCACTGACTTTTCTTCTAATGCGAAAGCATTAACTGTTCCATGCACTTTTAGAAAAAAGGCTATAGATAGTCCTCTCTTAGGGGAGGAACGGTCTTGTAACCTATGTTCCTTTAGAAAGGGAGAAACTTTCGTCCCTGAAGCAGGGGAGCAAAGTTCCTCCGTCGCTTGCATCTCAATATGGCGGCCCCGAATCGAGCAAATCGAGCCCAATAAGGCTTGACGAGGACGCTACGTCTCTTGTACGGGACGAGAGAAGCAGCAAATAAAAGCGTAACTCGAGCTTTCCGTGAACTGTGTTTATTTCCGAAGCCAGATTCCCCCCACAGGTACAGAAACTTGCGTTTCGAAAGCAGTTACTCAGTCTTCTCGTCGACTGCACTGCGATGTTAAACGGAGACAACCGATAACCAGTTACTTCGCGCACTTTGCGTCTTACCTTTGGTGTTCGTCGAAATTCAATTCCTTCGTCAACCGCACATCACGGAGAATTGCAAACTCAATCCGCGAAACCAAATGCCGCTCGAAAGAACGAACTCGAACCGCTGTTTATCGCGTAGCGTGAAAGAAGGTTAAATCGCTAGCCACCAGATGGCAGGGTCAAGCAGAGTAATTGCGAGTAGCTAGGCTAGGTGGCGCGAGGTACCGGCCAATTCATGTTCTACAAAAATAATTTGATTTTCCTCAGGCCACTAATGCG